ACAAGCTTGATGGAAGTGGAAGGGATTCGAATCCTAATGCCTTCTACGCACCTGGTAGGAGTGGATTTTGAAGCTACACACCAGAGCACCACGCCGCCGATTTAACGCCGGCGCGCCGCCGACGCCGACTCAATTTTTGACGCCGCCGCCGCCGATGAAAACGGCCGGCGCGCCGCCGGGCATAAAATTTAAAATAATGTAAATATGGTTCGGACGCCGAGAATTTACATGATACACGTGCTGCGTATATGTACCCCTTACACTACACTCCAAAAACAATTGATGATGTTAATAATGCACGACTCAACCTTGGATATTCTTACACGCATTCGAAAAGTACTCCGCGTACTTTTAGAGCATATTTTCAAATTGTATGCTATATAAATTTAAGGGTATTTAAGGTGAATTTTTGCGCAGTAAATATGATAGTACATACATATGTATTTGATATTTATTTTCTGATTTTTTGAGGAGGAAATCCTTGAGAAAGTATGTGGGAGAAATTCTGTCGGAATTTTGTTAAGAAATTCCTTGAATAATTAAGAAAAAATTCCTGGGAGAATTTAATCGAAGAAATTCTTGAAAAGGATTACAATAAAATACAATTTCTTACAATAAAATCTCAAAATTTTCATGGAAGGCAAACTGGGCAAATTCTCAGGTAAGCTTTGTAGCAAAATTTCTGCGAATTTGGTTGAATAATTTTTTGATAAATATCGTACAAAAAATCTAAAGTTATTTGCTAGAACAAATCAATAATTTTTGACAAACAAGTTTTTGAGACAATTTTCAGGTACGCAGAGTGAAATTAGGTGGAGGACATTTTGCAGGGGGACCAAATTTTTGGGAAATTTCTGAAGAGAGATTTGAGGAAAAAACTTATGAAATTCTTGCGCAATGATTCATATAATTCTGAGGGGCAAATTTTTATGTGATTCTTAGACATGAAATTTGTACGGAAATTTTCTAGGGTTGAATTGCAACAATTTTCTGGGATATTTTTGGGATGGAAATTTAATGAAAATTGTGGTGTACAAATTCATCATAAATCTAGAATCTTTTCTTCCGAAGAAAATTCTGGATGGAATTTTGCGGAAGAAATTCCAGAGAAATTGTAATATTTTTGGGTGCTGGTCAAATTATAACAAAAACAGGTTTATCGACTTAAATAACGAAAACAAATTTAACTCGAGCCCAATCGGAAGAAATATGTGCAAGTTAAAATATGATATCCATCCATGACAAATATTTTTTCGAATTTAAATTTTGTATTTTTAAACAAAATACTGCATTCATCAACGGATTTTACGAATTAAATTGTAATTATGGAATAAATGCAAATTTTGTTCGCTTTGGTTGAGTCATTAAAAAGTGACAAAGGGACGAGTCTCAAGTTGCTCTCATCATTGTGGGAAAATTCCTCCACATGGTCCAGTACGTCTAGTGTCGAAGTGCACAGTGGAATATTTACATTGAACTAATCGAATATCTAGCATAATGGCCGCCCCCACTTTGGATTTGCCAAATCTGCTAAGATCAGGGACATTATCAGTGCTACTCTCATCCAATCCAAATAGTGAGGTATGGCGATATTTTGGCAAACTTGCCAATTTTGGTGAAGTTATTCTACAGAAACAATCTAAAGTGTTTTGCAAATTATGCCTGGACTCTGGAAATTTTAAGGAGTAAGCCAAAATTAAATCAATTACCTTTATTAAAAAAAATTTAAATCTTAAATTTGGATAGGTACAAATCAAGATTGTAATATAATTTAGGTATTCTTGCCACGTAAGCACTGGAAATCTGCACACGCACCTGCAACAAAACCACCAAATTGACACGAAAACTAAAAGCCATGCGAAGCAAATGCAAAAATTGACAGCGTATTTTGAAGGGACGTCCAGGCCAACTCAACCTTCGGACGAGAAGTGGAAACTGGGGCGTGAAATTTGTCTTTGGTTCTGTAGGGACCTTCTTCCGTTTCACACCGTCGCAAAAAATGGATTCCAGAATTTTTGTTGTCAATATGGAATCACTAATTCATCGCGGTCGTTACCAGACGAGCAAACAATAGGAAGTGCGGCTTTGAACGACGTGTACAATCTGACGTTAGGAAAAGTTAAAGCTGCCCTATCCTCAGCCGGGGATGGCGTGTCCATAACTCTTGATTGTTGGACAGACAATTACAGAAGAATATCTTACATCACCTACACATGTCACTGGATAGATGATCTTTGGAAATTGCAAAATATTTCACTTGGAACTTCACCGTTTCCCCATCCTCATACTGGCGAGGCGATTGCAGCTGATATTCAACAAACTCTGAAAAATTTCAGCTTGGACGGGCGAATATTCCGAGTTACCACGGATGGTGGTGCCAACATAATAAAAGCACTAAAATTATGTGGACTCCAACGCCATCCTTGCTTGGCGCACGGAATGCATAATTTGATAAAAAAGGATTTTTTGGACAACGGAACTGAAGATTTAAAAACCTGCAGTGAAATCTTGAAAAAAATTAGAGCAGTTCACAGGAGTCTACTTTATAAATACGATGAACTATCCAGTTCCGCAACGAAAATTAAGGCTAGAGAAGAAACCTCCGAAACTGGTACTATTTTATTCTTGCATTGAATTAATTTATCTCCCTGAAATGAACAAATAAAAATGAGATATTTTTTAGAGGAAATTCTTGCACTTGACGATCAATATGACACGATGCTTTTGGATGAAAATTGCACGGGAACATTCACTACTCTCAAGCGCGACGTCCCCAGGCGATGGAATAGCATCCAAACGATGTTGACGAGCTTTTTGGAAAACAGAGGTAATTTAGATAGTTTATTGAGCACTTAACCAATTTACAAATCTCAAGATTTGTTATTTCAGCGATTATTAAAGACGTTCTGGAGAGACACCAACTGTATTGTAGAGATTTTATTGCCCAATGAAATTAAAGCAGCGATAGAAATTAAAAAAGTTCTCGAGTTCTTCGAAATTGCTACTGATGTTTTGCAAGGTTCCAGTTATCCTTCTATACATTTGTCACTTCTGATAAGATCTGAGATCGTCGACAGGTACATTTAATAAATTATTGGGCGATGGGAAATTTAATCTGTTATATATGCATACATACATATACAAATGTATTTATTAGAATTTCCATGCAAGATGCGGATTCCGATTTGACTAAATCAATAAAGAAAACTTTGTTGAGTCATTTGGAGCACCAGTTTCCTGTTACCGAAGATATCGTATGTGCATGCTTACTTGATCCAGGCATGAAGCGATTAACAATTATTGAGACCTACCTTGCTGAGAAGAATCAATCGAAGTTAAAATTCTTAATGCAAATGTGCAAGTCATATGGCACCCCGGTTCGTGGCGCTACTGTTCATAAAGAGGTAAATTTAATTTTTTCTGTATTCACTTCACACCCATTTTTACAAAATCAGAAAAACATCAAAACTAATTTTAAATTAATTAATTAAATTTGTATCCGCTCCAATAGGGCGCAGAGAATGACGTCAAGGATGAGCCAAAAACCAAAAAGAAGAAAAACTTTGTGGACATCAAAAATGAGTTGCTGAAGAAACATTCTCTGGTAATCCCTGATGAATCCTTGGACGCTGAAGTAAAGAAGTACCTTCTTGTCGCCATCAGCTCGGAAGATGTGTTGGATTGGTGGAGGAAAAACGAATATGGATTTCCAAATCTAGCAAATTTGGTCAAGAGGTTTTTAAGCATACAAGTAACTAGTGCGCCATCGGAACGGGCATTTTCGACGGCTAGGTTAGTCGTCACATCTCGCCGATCGTCGCTGCATCCGTTAAAAGTCAAGAAGATTTTGTTCGTGCATGACAACTATGATGCCATGCTCGATATTTAGTTAACAGACTGGTAATTATCATAGTCAATCTAAATAAATTCTGACAAATGTATACTAAATGGATGAAGACAACGTTTGTTTTATTCAACCATAATCAACTCTCAATCTTATGTGATCCAGAGTTGTCTTGCATGTACCCATGCAATTTCAATGCATTACTTTTGGACGTTCCGCAGTGGTATGTCTACTTGATCACATTCTTACATATGCTCATGTCCCTTGATCGCGGCCTATTTTCGCCTCTAACTAATCAATTTACCATATTTAATTTTCAGAATTAAAATATTTTGCATGAAACTCATTAGACAGAATTCAATTCCCATGAAAATATATTCCACATAACTCAATTTCTACGAAAATATTTTGCACCCAATGAAGATTCTCTATGAAGATTCTCAACTCAATGAAGATTAAAATATTTTGCAAATTACTCAATTTGCATGAAAATATTTTCCACAAAGTTAAAAGTTAATACTACCGTTAAGTTAAGACGTAAAGTTAATAATTTTATAATGCGTTTAATAACATCCACCAAAAATCTGGAAAAGTGCACAAAAACAATTTAGCTGATTACCATGCAGCAACGCTGAATATTTACGATATTGGACGAATCCTAAGTTATGTTACGATGTTTTTCATTCAACAATATTAGCAATGTCAACCCATTTTTTAATATTTGGAATTTAGAAATATTTTTCGTAATTTCCGCCTTGATAAAATTTTAATTGTTAGAAAATGGAAATGCTTGATTCTTGTTGAGCGTATATAAAAGTGAAATATGAAATTAATGGCATTCTGACTCGATGTTCATTATTATGCATTTTTGTGCATTTTATGCACTATGCATGCACAAAAAGAAACACTGATTACGTTATAATGGAGCGAGACAAAACTATTACTATAGAATAAAGGAACTTGTAAAGTTAATAAACTGACCCGCTTTACTGAACTGAAGAGTAAAAAACATCGGCGCGCCGGTGACAGAAGATTCGGCGCCGCGGCGCGCCGCCGCCGACCTAAGATCCGGCGCGCCTCGGCGCGCCGCCGCCGCCGAAGGTTTCCCTCGTTCACGCCGCCGCCGCCGACTTTTACATCGGCGTGGAGCTCTGCTCTACACCATTATGACCTCCAGCAATGCCAACGAAAAGTATAACGGGTAGGGATACGCGAGCCAGGGCAGCGGCTTCTTCCAACCTTGGATTGTCAAAGGATACAAGATCACAACCGAACTCATATTGAACGGATGGGACTCGAAGGCGGATTTCTTCCAGAGGGGTTTTAATACGGATGGAACACCGTAATAGTTTGCCAGAAAAGCCATCGAGGCATTCAAGTGAGGTCCTATTAATGCTATTGTAGCTTGTTTATCTTGTGGATTGTTGGGTTCAAGGGGTAGCCGCCTTGTTTGGGCAGTTTTTCTGGTTGGGGAATTTTTCAAGAGTACAATACTTTGTCGTGCAGCGGTTAATGAAAGGTCTCGATGAGGCTGGCTATCAACAATTTCGGGCAGCAGGTTAGTGAACGGGCGAGTAGCGTTCTTCTCAAAGTAGCCAAGCCGCATTAGTAATTGGAAGGCGTGTTCGAGAGCCAAGTCCAACATGTCTTGATTAACTAAATCATCATTTAGTGCTTCTTGTAGGTAACTGGAGTAGTAGCTGGTATTGGATACAAAACATTCAACGTCCACCCCTGCATCCAACACAGCAGCGACAGATTGGCTGGGGTATTCAGTATAGTTGTGCCGGGTGTGGACGTAACTCACCGCTCCACAATCTGAAACGTATCCGGAAAAGCCCCACTCCTGTCGGAGTGTTCCAGTCAGCATCCCCTTATCGGCACAGGCAGGTACGCCATTAACTGCATTATACGCACACATAATGGATATAAGGACCACTAATACTTACCTGTGGGAATTACTTTTTCTTATAGCGACCATGACTGACAACGAGATGAAGAGCACTGAGGTGGTATGACGATAATACTATGAAACCAAACTAGTTCAAAACAAAATACAAAATTTTCCACAAAAACAAGATCCCACAAAATTAATTCTGTAAATTTACCAGTAAAACGCGACCACAGTAACGAGATTCAGCAGGTACAGCAACATCCCAATATTAAATGGTTGGTAATTAAATATTAAAAATTTTAACTGTAATTTTAATTCTACTGTACTTTAGTGTACATATTTGTTTTCGCTGAGTAAGAGTAAACCTAATTTCATATCTAAATATATATTTTACTAGGTTGTAAAGCACAAGTTTATTTAAAGAGAATGATTAAAATAAATTCATGTAGTAATTTATGCGATCTCTATTTGTTTTGATGAATTTTATTGAAATTGTAACTTATCAAATGCGGAAATTATTGGTGTCATATTATTTTGTTTGTATTACTAGATTGTATTACTGTTGCGATCCTATTATACATTTTTGCTTAAGCAGCTCAAATATTGAATGATGTGATTACACCCTGAGAGGACTAATGAAGACCTCATTTTGACCTTTCAAAGAGGTGTGGCGGGAGCAAATGTGGCCATGGCATCAAACTACGTGACCCTTTTTGTTTGACCACTGGGTACTGCTACCTATCCTAAAGGAACTTATTCACGGTGATTAGAAAATGAAGCTTTTAGTGGAAAGATGATGCGCAAATGAGAAAAAAACATTAGTACAGAATTAAATCTTGTTAAACCCATTGTCAAATTTATTTATACATTATCAATTTTGTACTTCGAATACCTATGGGTGTTCAGCAGAATATTGAATTTTGTAAAAATACGTATTTAAATTGGTACTTTATTAATTCGTAATTGAGTTATCTGCACTGATCGGAACTCGTAATTGAAATAAAATTATGATTGTAATTGTGATTCGTTTGGAACTTTCTGGGAATTATATACTTTGATTTTCTCTTGTTTAGGCAGGAATTACAAAAACGCGAGGAAATATTACAATTCGAGTTGTTGCAATGGAAGTGGTGATATCGGCAATAGCATCCTACCGGAGCAGCAATGCCCTTGTCCTAATTTGGTCGATTTTCGTTGGAACTGTTTTAACAAATTGGTACAAAACGTTGTTCACAATGGAAATGATTATACTCACTGTTTACAAATCACCTTGGACAGGCTTGATGGAAGTGGAAGGGATTCGAATCCTAATGCGTTTTACGCCCACGGGAGGTGTTGAAGTGGCTTTCGGAGGGGATGAACCCAAGTGGAGAAGTTCTTATTGACATGATGGCAGGGGGCAAGATGACTCTATTGAACTGACCCTTAGAAGGAGATTATGAAGGTACAATGGAGGAAGCAGTGTTATTGACATAGTCTTTACAAACGATGTAGTGTTACCTACAATAAAATCCTTTAAGGTGGAGCATTACTAACTCTCACACCAATAACTTTGGTACGTGGGTGACCGACCTCACTCACCCCTCTCCTGCCAGCACCACTGCACAGTACTGTATTTACTTGGAAAAAGGATATGCAATCGAAAATCCTATACCAAACCAGCATTGACCAGCAGATCCGGGAAGGTAATACGATGGTACACTCATTGTACCACGACATAGTCAACACTATTACTCGAGCAGCCCGAGTCTCCGGCCAAGCCCATGATCAAATTTCGCCCTCTCAGCCCAAACAAACTCTGTGGTATGATGCAGATTGTAGGCACTCTCAACGCATACTCCATAACACATTAACATATGCCAGAGTAATTGTCTGGAGATGTTTAAGGAAGAGATTCGGTCTTGGGGCGTGAAAGGAAGAAATTCTATCTAGGGCTCACAATGTGTCCAATTAAACAAAAATGCGACAAAATTCTGTTTTTGTTTGTTTTGAGTGCTACTGTATCCCAGGAATGTTATCCAGAAAAAAAAACTTGAAAAAAATGTAAGGGGGTGTGCCTGTAAGGGTATTGAGGGTGTGGTCGTCAAATTTTTTTTACGGAATTTGAAAATTCCAACGACTGGAGATTATTAGGGTGGTTCTTCTGATAATCAGGCAAAATTTTTGCACCTCTGACCCCGGTCATTGCAAAGATATTCGAAGAAAACCGAAAAAAGTTGTAAGAAATCGTCGGATTTGCCGTGTTTGGAGACGTATTTCTGCAAACGCTCGCATTTTGCGCAAGATTTCTCATCGTATCTTTTCAGTGCCCACATAAAACTTGCATAATTCGGTAAAAAGTTCTGCTCAAACATTAAGCGTTTTTTGAAAATCGCCCTCGAAAATCTAGATATGGGCCACGGTAAAGTCTCACGTAGCCCCATGTGTGGGGTATCGTTGGAAAGGTGACGGCAAGTGGATTCAGAATATATATACTTTGTGGGGTCTAGGACCACCCCCCGAGGAGTTAGAGATGAAAAAAGGTTTTGAGTTTTCACTATCAAACTCGCGAGAATCAGTGCGGTTTGGTCATCTGCACTACAACGTAAACTCGTAATATAACGCCGTGTTAAATTCTGGCGAGTTTGATAGTGAAAACTCAAAACCTTTTTTCATCTCTAACTCCTCGGGGGGTGGTCCTAGACCCCACGAAGTATATATATTCTGAATCCACTCGCCGTCACCTTTCCAACGATACCAGGGGGTCAGAGGTGCAAAAATTTTGCCTGATTATCAGAAGAACCACCCTAATAATCTCCAGTCGTTGGAATTTTCAAATTCCGTAAAAAAAATTTTGACGACCACACCCTCAATACCCTTACAGGCACACCCCCTTACATTTTTTTCAAGTTTTTTTTTCTGGATAACATTCCTGGGATACAGTGGCACTCAAAACAAACAAAAACAGAATTTTGTCGCATTTTTGTTTAATTGGACACACTGTGGGGCTGTTGTTGCAATAATATTTCAATAAAGTCCAGTTTAAGTAAATCTCAATCTGCCTCCGCTTTTTATATATTTCATACCACACACAAAGAATTTTCCTCACAAACATTTCACACATTTTGGCCAATATTTTATGAACTCGCTCTCAATATTCTTGAAAATTTCCTGACGAGGGTTATGTCTTCGAAAAAATCAAAATTTCAAAAAAGTTGGGATTGGTATCGAATATCATAAAGCAACTATCTGGGATCACGAAAATACAAAAATTATCCAAATTCGATCAAAATTGGATTTTTGATGAAGATTTGAAACAACAAAAACAGGTGTTTTGGGCCACTTTGAGGGGATGTAGCGGGCTTAAACGGGGACATGGAATCAAATCCTGCTTCACTTTTCCTAGATTCACCGGGTACTAAAACATATCCAAAGGGCATCGAAATCGGCTTACCCCTCAATGGGAAGCACTCCCCCTGAAAGCAATTAGACTATCTTTCTAACTTAACTAACTTTTGTTTTTCCAAGGTACGACTGGCGAAATTTTTCAGAGCATGTCACCAAGCATCGTCCAAAAAACGTGATTCTAGTTAATAGAAAACTCCCGCCTTTTATTGATTTTATTGCCATCTTCGCTTACAAAATAAGTTGTTAAAGGGAGAGTATGAGTTTTATTGTGTATAATGTTGCCTTGAATAGGGCAAGATTTACTGTTTTACGGAACATGCTACGCGTTGAGATGGGGCGAACTATAAGTTTACTTGACATGTCTGGCTTCCCTGACATGTGGGATAGTCAACTAAAACATTTGCGTAAATTGACAGCAATGCATTGGCCTTCTAGGAGGGTGGCATTACCCTACATTTCAATCAACACCCTGACATCCTTCTTCAAGTTTGTGGGCATTTGTGTGGTTTTGTTTGTAATTACTGTTATGTTAGAGATCATATCCCACGTAGAATTTCGGTCGCGGTTTTGCAACAAGGTTAGAGGTGTTGTGAAAACAATAGTAAGGCATTGGTCGAAATTTGTGGGCGTTAATGAGAACAGACAGTCGAGGAGAAAGAATTTGTGGCTGAATAGAAAACACTTCATTAAGGATAGAAATACACTTGTGTAATTATCCTGCTGATACGCATATCTATATTATAATTCAGCGTTTCACTTTGTAACGGAAGTGAAAGGAAATTTTCCGCAACGGAAGTGAAAGTGGAGAAAGTTACAACATGAAAAAAACATCATTTGGTGGAAATGAAGGGGAGGGGAATGTCGATAAAGCCGTTATGCATGTTTTGTTGCTTATCATGACGTTATTAGGAAGGGTGGGGGGGTCACGGGGTTATCTTGGCGAATTAGGGTGAGGGAGTTGGGTGTGGGGGTTTTGTGTGGGGTTAGGGGATTGGGTGTGGGGGTAGTGGGATTGAGTGGGGGGTAGCATGGTTGAGTAGGGTGTAGGGGGGTTGAGTGGGGTGTAGGGGGGGGGGTTGAGTGGGGTGTAGGGGGGTTGAGTGGGGTGTAGGGGGGTTGAGTGGGGTGTAGGGGGGTTGAGTGGGGTGTAGGGGGGTTGAGTGGGGTGTAGGGGGGTTGAGTGGGGTGTAGGGGGTTGAGTGGGGTGTAGGGGGGTTGAGTGGGGTGTAGGGGGGTTGAGTGGGGTGTAGGGGGGTTGAGTGGGGTGTAGGGGGGTTGAGTGGGGTGTAGGGGGGTTGAGTGGGGTGTAGGGGGGTTGAGTGGGGTGTAGGGGGGTTGAGTGGGGTGTAGGGGGTTGAGTGGGGTGTAGGGGGGTTGAGTGGGGTGTAGGGGGGTTGAGTGGGGTGTAGGGGGTTGAGTGGGGTGTAGGGGGGTTGAGTAGTTTGGGGAAAGGTAGGGGGAGTTACCGTTTTATTACGAATCAAATAATCCTGAACACGAAATCCACGCTGAAAGGAAAACAAAAGGAACGACAGACTTTCCTTTCGTTTGCATACTAAGTTATGTATACTATATGGCGATCAGGAAGGCGAAATGAAAGGCTGCCTGTCCTTTAGTTGACAGACCAACTATTGTATACG